GAGAGAAGTGACCGGAGAAAACTCGAACCGAGAGACGAGATATGAGACTCGATGGAATTTTAACGCGTTCGTGTCCAGCAGCTCGTCGATATTACGTCCACGTGCTTTTGATGATCGATCGGGTACCCGCGAATGTCTCTTGAGAATCCTGCCAATCTTTACGCCCACCGAATTCCCCAATTCCGATGGTAAATCCAAGGGATTCGGTCTTGATGTCTTTCCGTATTGCTTCAAACATCAGGTGAAAAAAATCATGAAAAATGCATTTTTGATGCATTTTCGATGAATTCAGCTGTTTATTAAAGGAGAACAAATTATATGACATTTTTTTTCAGTCGTGGGGAGTGGAAAAACTAGTACCGGAAATTCAGACACTCTTTTCACTTTTTTAAGACGCTTGTGTCAACCAATTCGAGTCTATGCTGTCTCATTTGCTTTTTCTTCATTCAATACTTCATTCATTTTTTTATCATTAATGATGATGATAGATTTCTATTGCATAGAATGTATGAACCTTTTACATTCCCACAGGTTACATATTATTTAGAACTAACTTACTGTTTAACAATCCATCCATTTGTTTTATCCTAATGGTATATCCTTCGTATCGTTTGCACATGTCTTGAATTCGGACAGAAAAAAAAGTATTAAATTTTGCGACTTGTATTTCAAGACTTGATAAAATCTCGTCCATCAAACTTCTTGTTTTCCAGCGGAGAAAACGTCTTTTTAAGCTATTCGTAATTTCACTGATCATGAAGCCAGCCGATAAGCCACATTGTCATGTCTAATGTCTTAAACTAAGACGTATAAAATACCCTCGTTTTTACAGTGGTGATGACACTCTCATATTTCTTAAAACTCTTATCGTCATTCTCCATTTAACGAGAATATTTTTTTTCCTCCCCTCCGCCTTCGAAAAGAGCAAAAAAAAATCGCCGAATGCAAGTGGCGAAAAAACGTGAGGAGAAAAATAAAAAAAAATATCAGAGATATGCATCAAGCACACGTTGGACATTCTCCCGGGGAAATATATCTGTCTTTGCCGTCCGCGTAGAATGGAAGACTGATGGGCCGCCGAGTAGACGACACCGGTGAAAGAGAGACAGAGACAGAGGCTTAAGGGCGGGTAGGGGAGGGGGTTAAAAAAATAGCGGGAATGAAGGAAAAAGAAATGAATGAATAGAGGAGAGTGTGGAGTTGTGGGTTATATGCAGAAGAAGTGAAGGTACTGCGATAACGTCGGTGAGAGAAGGTCATTCCCGTGGATGATGAGTATTTTTCAAGCTCAAATAGAGAGACCCATTACCCCAAGGGAATTCATCCCAGCGACATTCTCCACTTGGAATACAGAATTTAATTTATTTTTCCTACATCCATGTGGCTTCCCCTCCCCCTTCTTTATCATGAAAGAACACACTCATTATAGGAATTAATTACTCCGGGAATTTTTCAATTAATTTCGATTGAGGTAATGCGATTGGGAGGTTTTTTTTGTGAGAAATTCCTCGAGCAATTGTTCGAGCGCCTGAGCTCCACTCGGCGGTATGGTGGCTCGAATAATCTGAATCTTTGGGAGGTACGTGGTATCAGTGGTCAAAACACCTTGTCCTCAATTCTCTGTTCCTCCCGCTTCGTGGAACACACACTGATCCCCCGTCGAGGAATGACCGATAACACTGTTTGACCACAATACGTAGTTGCTCGATAGATGTCTGAAGTAGAATATACGTAAGTTGAATTTTGAAGAGGAAAATGTGAAATAAATTTTAAACGGAAGTTGATGTGAATAAAAACATTCTAGTTGAGTTCGTGCTCAATTAAATGTCTCGTATTATTGATAATAATTAATTTAGAAATGCCAAAATAACGCAGAGTTTCATGAGGAAGTGAATATTTTGCGGTTAGAGGGAAAAAAATTAATTAAAAATTAATGTCTAATACGAAAATAATTGTAAAGAATTTCATGGATTTTTTTTGGCAGTGTCTATTCGCACGGTAAATTTTACCGTGGATTCACCGTAGATTCTCTCTCACATCTTGTCTGACATCTCTGCTATGAACTCTGGTTTTCAACTCTGGCAATTGATTCGATGTGTCTAATTTATTGTCTAGATTTAATTTGAGAAGTAAAAGTTGAGGGTCCACGATCTCCCGTATATCCACGGTAGAAACTACCTTGAATCCACGGGAAAACGTCCCGTATATCCACGGTCAGAGTTACTGTGGAGCGTGTGAATAGACAGTGCCTTAATTTTTTACTCCCGTCAAAGCTAGCATTCATGGAATAAATTATCAATGGTGAATAACTTTTTTTTCGGAAATTTTACGTTTTTTTTTCTCACTATATTCAACGACTGATGGGGATATAGTACTTTAATGCGCTGTTGGATGAAAATTGAAATTTTTGGGACAGTTTGGTGGAATGACGTGACTTTAATTTATGTAAAAATTGTTATTTTTACATTGCCATAAAAATTCAATGAAATTTCAAATTTTTTTAACAGCCGAAAATTTTGTCGAAAGATGAAAATTTCCCAAATTTCTTGAATTTTCCAGATTTCAGGCTTGAAACTTCATTTTGATTAATTTCTTGTCTGACATTGTGAGCTTTCAAAGACGAAATTCCCTTGAATTTCAGCCAAACATCTTTAAATGTGGGTGACGTTTAACATTAGGGAGATGCAGGTGGAAAATTCACGGGGGTTTTTGGGGTTTTGGGAAGAGGGAGGATGAAAAACAGTGGGAAACAGGTGGTTAGATGTTTTTATACCGATGGGAAGTTTCATCTTGAAGACACAAAAACTGTGAGGGAAAATCAACCTCTCCTCAGCGGTGGGTTACCTTTTCTGGAGGGTATTTCAACCTTTTGTCGGAGATAAATGAATGTTAAACGTTTTTTCATGTCTGCAATATTATTTTGAGATTAAAAAACATGAATAAAAACTAATACAACATTTCCGGTAATTTAATAAAAATAACTTTTAAAAACTCAAAATGTCCGCTCGAGTGCTAAGAATGAGGAGGCTCATCGCTTAAGATCATTTACTCATCTCCCTATTTATTTAAAACATAATGCTCTTATTGATACCAAAACCGCATAATCTCATTTTCCTCAACTGCAAAGTCGCCTCAGTGTTTTGAATTTATCATTTTTCAATAATTTTTTCAATTATAAAAAACAAGAATTTACAAGATTTTTCTTCGAATTTCCGCGTAATTTGACGTAAATCGCCGAATAAAATAGGAATAATTACAGGAAATGTCCCCATTTAGGTGATTTTTCCCAGATCAAAATGATTAACCGATAAGGTTTGTTTTCCACCGCCTCACAAACCAAAAAATAATACAAGTTACACTTATCTTATCATTTCATTTAATCACACAATTATTCTTTGACGTATATCGCAAGCGTCTAATTTCATCCGATCACCTGTCAGCTCAAATTCGTGCACGCAATGCTCCCCCTCTCCCCCCTCTCTCGCCACCCCCTGCTTCTCAGGTGGTCCTACAAGCATTGCATGAGCGTGAAGAATTTGCCCAGCAATTCCATTTCTTTCTCCTCTCCTACCACAACAAAAGAAAACTAGACAGGCCAGTGTCAAAATACTGAAATGTATTATTACGAGTGGCTCCTCACCCATTTCACGTGCTATATTTATTTTCCTACACCCAGTTTTTCCCTGAGTTCAATGTGTTACGATTTTATGCGGTTGTTTATGACATTGATATAAATGTATTGTGTGGGTTTTTCAGGATGCAGGGACTGGCGTGTCAGAGAGGGAGGACCCTGGTGCTTCTGCTACTGGCTCTTCTACCCCTCGCTAACGGTGAGTCATTTTTATACAATACTTGATGGCCCCGGTTGTGCGGGGGATAGCCCTATATCACGGTGCCTGTAGGCTGCGGATATCCGTGAAATTTCGAACTGATTTTCTATTATCGTTGTTGAGAAAATTAATTCGACGATTTTCTGCATACTTTGGAGAAAATTATTGGAGATTGCGAGACTGGCATCTCTGAAGGAGAGTTTGGAAGGAAAATGTGTGACATTTCGTGGGCTAGATGAAAGATCTTTTGACATTAAATAAGAAAAAATTTTGAGGTGGTATTTGGTGGTATTTGAGATGGAAATTATGAGGTATTCCTCAATTTCTTTATGTTGAGGGATTTATTTTTGGTTCCAAATGTATATCCTCTCGGGTTTTTACATTTTGTTCCCTTCCCTATCTGCGTTACCATGGGCCGACTTACTTTATCCCCAACTGCACCCCATTCGGGATTGGACTGCCAGGGAAACCATGGAAAACCTCAGTCGTGCAGCCGGCCGATAATGCAGGGATTCCACTGTGCCCATTGAGTTACTGTGACCAATGGGCACAGTGGCTCTCGACATTCGTGCCCAGCGACTGGAGTCCACGCGGTTAGGTGTGCCCAAGCGGACACCCAGCCAAGTACTGGGCAGACTAAACGCTGCTTAGCTTGGATGACCGCCGGAGCAACACACTCCCCACGTGATTACTACAGTCACTGTTGAGGGATTTAATTGAGGAAATTAATTAGAACAGAAATTCACCATTTTATCCATTAAACGATGAACAATTTCTTTTAGTTATCCATGTGTACCGAAAATCAATTGAAAAACTCAATCGGAACAGGAATATAAATATTTTCTCTATTATGCATTAACCTCTCTTCAAATCTCTGTTGTATATTTACTTCTCTTGAAAAATTCTTCAAAAATTCCTATATTCATCTCGATTTAATAATTATCAATTGCGTCGTTTGAAATAAACATTTTATTCTGAATTAAATTTGGCGACTCGTAAAAATATTTGACAAACAACGAAAACATACCTCAGGATAATTATGAATATTTATAATTATTAAAAAATTATGTAATTAGATGAAAAATATTTTCTCTGCGTTATGCATAAACTTCTCTTCAAAAATCTTCTTCTGGGATTCCTACCTATTGCCTCATTCGAGATAAACTTTTTATTCTGAATTAAATTTCGAGACTCGTCAAAATATTTGACAAACAACAAAAATATTCTTCAACACAACTGAAAACACTGAAACTCTTTCCTGAAACACATCAACTCAATGACATTCCTCAAATCCACCCATCTCCTCCAAAATTCAATTAAGAAACTCCATCAAAGCAGGAAAGCATATGAATATTTTCTTTACGTCACAACCAGAAGTTGAAAGTTAAGGGTCTGTTGATAATCCCCACACATGTCTGGATGTTTCTCCGAAGCCCGAAGGGAAAAGTGGATGGATTTCTCTCTCTCCCCCCCCCCCCCCCCCCCNCCCCCTTCAGGGCAATACAAATGTGAAATGGGGTCGACGTCTCGCTTCGGGGCTGAAATTTTGGCCTCTCCGCAATTCTTGCGTGTGCGTCAGCCGAACACGTGGATCCTGAGCATGAAAATTCCTCGGCAAAAAAATTAGTCTTCTCTTCACTACCACCCCACTTACCCCATGTCTATCACGGGTGAAAAATTCTCGCTCTATTTGCTCAATTTTTTTTTCACCTCTTTTTCTCAAATTTCTTCACTCGAAAATTTTGTTAAAGTTCCTTTTTCAGTCTTTTCTTCTCGTGCAAACGACGTTCCGATTCAACACGCTGCCTCTTTGGGAATCCTTTTGCCCGAGGACGTGACGGAGTTTTCTCTTATTCTTTATTTTATTTTTATTTTTTCCTTCGGTTTTTCATTCTTTTTTTCTTCATTCTCTTTTATTTCTCTTTTTTTTTATTCGTTTTCCTTTGAGAGGTGAAAGAGAAAAGAGTGGCGGTGGGCAGTGGGAGGGGGGTGGAGGGGAGGGGGGGTGTACAGATGAGAGAAAAGAAGCGCCACCAGAGTTTTTAGTCCTGCCAGGGACCCCGTGTGCACCGGGTAAACCCTCTTATCTCATCCCTCACGAGGTTTTTCACGGTTTTTTTCTTCCGCTTCTTTAGAAGAGAACCGCATATTCGCAGCACTCTGCTGCGTCCGCCTCTGTCCAAAGATTTCATTCATCCTGTTCTCTATATCTACCTCAACCCTCTGCGGAGCAGTCATACCCCCATTCATTGAGGACAGTGTGCTCAGTCTGTTGAGGTATACCACTTACCTGTGGAGATTATTAGGTTCACTTCATGTGTAGAGGTAGGAATGAAAAAAATTGTACTGAGAGAAATTACTGCCCAGTGGGCGCCATCTGGTCTCTTGTGTTGGGCTAATTTTTTCCTCTAACGAGATTTTTCACAAGAAAAATTGCACTCGATGGGGGATATGTTGGGTTAATGGAGGATTTTTGGTCGGGTGGTGGGAATTATTTATTGTTTTTAAAATGTTGCAAGTGAAAATTTTTTTTTTGTTGGGAGTAGGCGAGGATTCAGGGGAATTCTGGGATTGGCAGATGTAATTCTGCGTTCGCTGATAATTTAACGTAATGTTCACTTGAGTTTTCTTTTTTTTGTAAGAATAACATTTATTTCACTTGATAGAGAAAGAAATTAATTCGGAAATTGTAGAATTTAACGTCTAATAAATCTTTGGTTTATTTAATAATTTATGGAATTATTTATTTCAATAATGAGAGGAAGTTGAGAATAAATGCACATGTTAATTTCCTGAATTGTTGACATTATTAACAATCGTCTTGAATAACGCACCACTGTTGAAGCTCTTGTTATCCTAGCAGAGTGCAAGTGTTGAAAATTGAATAAAGTCATGAGAATGGAGCGTCGGGAATTCATAAAAAAACCAGTGCCATACTAATTGCAAATATTTAACGACTTCTTAACTTTCAATATTCCATGAATTTCCCGTTTTAAAATAGAATGATGTCTTCATCAAACTTTAAAAATTGAGGACAGCTCCGTCTTTTAACAAGATTTTCATTGAAAAAAAAAATTGTATTAACTATTCCTTTTCTTCAAGCAGAAGTAATAAATCAGTAAACATATTTAACAATAATTTTGCATAAAACAACTGATGAAGCACTTCTCCCCGTCAATTACAAATGCTAAAAATTTAATGAACTCATGAAAATACTGCGCCTGAAATTGATAAAAAAGCCAGTGTCAAGCTCATTACAGATATTTCATGAGTTCTAAACTGTCAATATTCAATGAAACACCCATTACAAAAAAAATATCACCTCCACCCCCCCAGTGAGAAACACCAAAATAATAAACCCCCAAAATAGCTTTCATAAACTCTCGTAAATCCTCCCCTCAAACTTTCAAAATTGAGGACAACTCTCTTCAAAAAAAAATCCAGTAACAATAAATCCGAAAATGGAATCCATTTGTCTGTGAGTGGATGCCACCGCATAAAAAAACATTATGATGATAAAAACATTGAGGTACATTAAAGTTGGTAACGGGGCCATCGATCACATCTTGAATAACAATCTCATGTCAATTCGAAATAGCAAAAGCGACTGAAATGCTGGTTTCTGGGGTGGGTTGGAGACCTGTGCGGGCCGGGAGGGGAGGGGGGGGGAGAGTTTGGAGGAAATGCCCCCCAGCAGTCGCCCATTATCCAAGATTTACGTTATTGGGTTTTCCGGTTTTTGTTCTCTCGTTTAAACTTATCTGCGTTCTCCTTTCTCGAGATAAGTAGATCGAGTGAAGGGGGTTTTTGGTGTACTAAGGTGGTAGTATACGGACCCTTTTTTTTTCAGCTACAGCCGTGTGTTATGGCGGAGATATAGAGGGCTGAGGGATGAGTATAAACGGCGTTATACAGTGGAGTGGATATATGGTTGGGGGGAGGGTTGAAGGATCGATTTAGGGGATAACCTTTTTGAATCGGTGTACGAAAACTAAACGGCCACCTTGGATTTCTCACACATGCGGTGCCTCTGGCACTTTTTTCGTCTCACTCGCACGCTCTCGTGGTTGTCTTTATTTTTTGGGGACCCCACCCCTTATTTGCTTGAGGAGAGCGAGGGGTTGGCAGCGGTGAATAAGAAACTGAAGAGTGTACGGTGGAGATAGGCACATAATCTTACCGGGGGAAAACGATTTGCGTCCGACGTTGAGCATAACGTCGACGATTTGTTTCGCGTCGTCCGAAACAAATTCACTCGACCGATAAAACATGAGCGTAAATTTCTCTTGAGTCTGGTTAGGGGGGCGGGGGGGGGGGGGGNGGGGGGGGAAGAGACTGGTTTCAATGTGGTTGGGAGGTTTTACGGAATTTTTATTCACTTTAGAGGTAGTCTGTGTTGTTAGATCATTTCTAATGAAATTTTAACCGTCAAAGATGTATTATTAGTAATCATGAATTAACAGTAATCATGGTTGATAATTCATAATTATTAGTGATTGTTTTAGTGTTTGTCGGAAATTTGGAGGAGAAAATATTGAATTTTTGACATTGATAGGGTTTTTATTCATGTTTTCATTGGCCGATCACTCAATTTTCGGAATATTCAATGAAAAATCATGTTTGAGTTCCCTCGCAGTGTATTGAATGGAACTGACATCGTTTCAAAGATCAATTTTAATTACAAAATTAATATTTAATATGAATGTAATTAAAACATGATTCAACGATTTTTCGAATATCTTTTTACACTTTATCCGAAGCTGTACATCCATGCGAGTTTATTCTAGGAGAAATGGATGAGAAGTGAGAGCCAGGAAAAGTCTCACGGGAAATTTCAGATACTCGGTTTTCCACCGGAAACTAGAGAATTGGAATGGAAATTGTGAATCTCTGGAGACTGAAAATACGAAAAAAATATGAAAAATCATCAAGTGGAAAATTAAAAAAAATCGCTCTTTAATTGTGTCATTTTCTTTTTCAATAAAAAAAATTCAACTTTT